ATTTTCAAAAGAGACCAGTTAGATGGCTTGTAGAAGAAGTGAATAATCAGACAGGATTAGTGCCATTTTTACTCAATGTTGTACCTTAAAATAAAACACTCATGGCGTCAGACACATAAAAAACAAAATATGAAAACAGCTAAAACATGTTTGTCTGCATGTGTATAGAGAAAAATACGTATAAAAATGTCATTAACATTGCATGGAAATAGTGATTCACTTCCCTGTACAATTAGGCTAACACAGCAAGCGAATTCATTAATCTGTGGTTAACTAGTCCATCATTCTGACCCACTAATGCCTTACTCAAACTTCAGCCCTCTACATCAGTTCATGTTTTCTGAAAACGAAACTTTGTTGCAGTAGCAGGCCATGTGTGGCTAACTGCTAATACACAATCCCAGCTATCCGTTCCCTTATAGCTTTTATGTACTCCAGACACACTATATAGGCCATGTTTGTTTTTTCTTATTCGATTGAAGTCCCTTAAGGTTCATTTTGCTCCTGTAGCTCATAACACCTGGCCTGCGGTGCTCTGGAGCTCAGCTAATGATAACGTCATTATTACCGACCTGCTCCTTTAGTCACCACCAGCTTGGGTTTGCTGCGGGCTCCGTCTCCTTTGGTGGTGTAGGCTGCCACGGTGATGGAGTACGTGGTGTCAGGCTGCAGGCCTCCGATGACCATCTCCTGTGGTTAATGGACACAAAGAGGGAAGTTAGCACTATGTTAGGGAACTGAATTTTTTAAAGACTTTACTACATGTCACCTGCACAGGCCTGGCGTCAGTTTCCTCTCTTTTCAATGCCACGGCCTGCAATCTGTATTCTGCTGTCTTTTTTTAAAAAAGTATATTAACCTAGCAACTTGTCACATTAATACCGAATGTATGACTGATATTAACACCTCTAATATTATCAAATTAAATAAAAATTATATATATATATATATATATATATATATATATATATATATATATATATATATATATAAAAAATTTAATATATTTTTTATTATAAAA